ATTTTTTCATCTACGATGGCCTCAAACAAACCAACTCAAACTCCACTCTTTGATTGTGGCAGCTTCTATGACACAGATTCTCCCCTCTACACCATGTTTCGGTGCCTGCCTCATACTCTTATAAGTGGTGCTGTGATATCAGATAGTGTCATCGGAGATGGCTGCATTCTTAATGTAAGCAAAAACATCTCTTTGCTAAGAAGACAACATACTGCATTTCATTTGCAACCATGTGTTGATTTGTTTCCAGGATTTTCTGCTTTGCCTTTTCTAAGAATAGAGGTGTAAGATCAAAGGTTCAATGGTTGGGATGAGGACAAGAATCGGAGATGGAGCAATTGTAGAAGATTCAGTAATCATGGGTTCTCACATGTACCGAGTAAGATGAATGCTACAATCTCAATCTCTTCTTTCTCTACTTAATGATTTGATCATACATTTTCATTCCATGTGATAAGCAGGAAGAAGATATTCAAGGGATGAAAGAAAAATGCAGCGAAATCGCAATTGGGATTGGTGAAAATACTTAGATAAGAAAAGCAATTATAGATAAGTATACTAGAATTGGGTGAAATGTCATGGTATGTCAAACTTTATTGTAATTTCCAACTATTATGGAAACATAAGTGCTGTCCTTATTCTAACAGAAAAAAGAACTTTGTGTTTGTGCAGATCATTAGCAAGGATAATGTCGAGGAAGGGGACAGAGAATGGCGTAGTAGCCTATACCGAAACATCGATTTTGATGAGATTTAAAATCCTATCACGATGAATTTGATTGCCTAAAACACCACTTAGGACAAGACATAAGATACAAAAATAAATTAAAAGAAATTCAGTCTCAAAAACTCACTCAAAACAAACAGAAGAGAATTGAAATTTGATTAAACTGATAAAACTTATAATATATAGGAGGGAACGTGGCTATTTGTAGGCTAAAGTTAACTAAAGGTAATAAATGAAAAGTAAAATACAGTTGAAAGTTAGCCATTTTTGTGGACTGGAGTGGCCATTTTTGCTGACTTGTGGCCATTTTGACAAAGTGCACCGACCTATTGTAGTTGGCGGTGCTGCTGCAGAGTAGCTTCTGCATGCTTGCTGCATTTTTCCTGGTGCAGAAAAGCTAATGGTTACATCAGAAGTGGTAGAATTGTGGTTGTTCTTAGAAGTGCAGAGATCCCCATGGTAGCATCTTATAAGATTAACATTTTTTTTCCCATTTGAAAAGCTGATTCTTTAATTGTTAAGCAAAAAAAATGCTATGCATCATGACCAAGCAATAACATTCAAAATCACCACATTTTTACGTTTGCACATATTCTTTTTATTATGGCTGTTCTCAAAAGGATTGAGTACCTTACTAAAAAAGTTGGAATTGTTTTATTAAAAGATTTGGTATCTTACAGTTAAATTATGTTATATTATAAAATATTAATTTGAATACTTAAATTAATAATTATCAATTATTTCAAATGATAAATCTTTCACGATAATAAATATTGTAAAGAAAGAAGTATAGTAACGTTGTCAACTCTAATGGAGATATGAGAGAAGCATTTATAACCTTATTTATGACATTAATGCCGTGTACGATCCCCTATTATCCCACATGCTATCAATCATGTGGATAAATTTTTTACTGCTCATATTGATCACTTAGACTCTTCTTGTGGCATAGAGCCCAACAGTTAGCCTTAGATCAAATATGAGGCCACCACCCCAACAAACTAGTATATTCCAAAACTACACTTTATGTTACTGAAAATCAGCGTTTTCAGTTTTTGTAGAAGGGTTGATCTTTTCAAAAACTGGACGAGATAAATGGGTGAAGATTATTGCATTCTATGCTTATCAAATCTCTCTTTTAGTCCTTGAACTTTTCTCAAATCTCAATTGACACCCAATATTAGTCCGTTGTCAGTAGGACGGTGGAGAGTGGGGCCTCACACAATCCTTACTCGGACAAGCCGCGTGTTCCAACAATGGCCCCACATTTCGTCGGTTGTGTGATTGGGATAAATATATCCTATAAATATTTACTAATTTAATAATTTAATCATAAATATAGAAAACGACAACCACAAACAATCCTTATTTCTTTCTACTGGTCTCTACTTCGACTCCCTAACACAAATCAGATCAAAGCTCGTGACTTTAGGATTTTCAGGTAAATCTTGTTCATGCATCTACCATTTTCGGCGTTTCTGCTTCTTGGGTTTGATCTTAATCTGATTGATTTTTGCTCAATTTGATGTTTTTTTTGAACGGATTTACTCTGATCTAGATCCTGATCATTGATTTGTATGCATGCTTAATTTTGTTTAGTTGATTCTGGTTCACATGCATTCAGATCAGCTCCATTCATCTCCAGATTGTAGTTTGTGAATGTAGTAATGAAGATTGTAGATCATGGTTCATTTCGATCTTGATATTATGTAAACTAGCTGTTGGCTTGGTGTTTCTGTATTTTGATCGAAAAAGTTGTCATTTTTCTGTTCATAATCCAAACTTTAATGGATGCTTATGATCCAGATCTGGTGTACCAGTAAATTTTTTTCCTTTGTTATGGAAACATTGGTTTCTGCTGTACATATTTTAGATCTGCTGTCTCATGTTTAAATGTGTAATGTTATGTGATATTTTTAATATTTGGAATCATTTGTTTTGAAGGTATGGCTTCATCTGATAAGCCTGAAGTAGTTGAAAGGGATGTTAAGGATAAAGAGCAGAAGGAGGATAAAGAGCACAAAGAGGATGACAAAGAAGATGGGAAGGGTGGATTTATTGAGAAGGTGAAGGATTTCATTCATGACATTGGTGAGAAGATTGAGGAAGCTATTGGGTTTGGGAAACCAACTGCTGATGTAACTGGGATCCATATTCCTTCCATTAATCTTGAGAAAGCAGAGATTGTTGTTGATGTTCTGATAAAGAACCCAAATCCTGTGCCGATTCCTCTGATTGATATTAACTACTTGATTGAGAGTGATGGAAGGAAACTGATCTCGGGTTTGATTCCTGATGCTGGAACCATTCATGCTCATGGGGAGGAGACTGTAAAAATACCAGTTACTTTGATATATGATGACATCAAGAATACATATGATGATATTAAGCCTGGGAGCATCATTCCTTATAGGATCAAGGTTGATCTCATTGTTGATGTTCCTGTTTTTGGGAGGTTAACTTTACCTCTTGAGAAAACTGGAGAAATCCCTGTTCCTTATAAGCCTGATATTGATGTAGAGAAGATACACTTCCAGAGATTCTCTTTGGAAGAAACTGTTGCAGTTCTTCATCTGAAACTGGAGAATAAGAACGACTTTGACTTGGGACTCAATGGGCTTGACTATGAGGTCTGGCTATCTGAAGTAAGCATTGGCGAAGCAGAACTTGAAAAATCCACAAAAATTGACAAAAATGGAATCAGTCGTATTGAGATTCCTATCACTTTCAGGCCTAAGGACTTTGGCTCTGCACTTTGGGACATGATTAGAGGAAAAGGAACGGGTTACTCCATGAAGGGCAATATCAATGTAGACACACCTTTTGGAGCAATGAAATTACCCATCAGCAAGGAGGGTGGTACAACCCGCCTCAAGAAGAACAAAGAAGATGGTGGTGATGACGATGACGATGACGATGATGAGGTACATTAATCCTTTTGCTTTCTGGTTAGACCTAACTTTTTCATCCTCAACTAGAATGTGCTCTTCTTGTTGTTTCTCATTAGGGTGCTGAATTTTTTTTTCCTTATTTCTTAGTTGGATAACTAATTAGGGACTAGGGAGAGGTAAATCTTGTTTGTACTAAATTATTTCTTTAGTTTGACAGTTGCTATATAAACATAACCGATCTATATTTTGTCAAGTTGGTTTTCATTTTTGTTTCTTGCGTTCCTTTTTTCTTGAAGTGATATCTAAATGGGTCTTTACTGATCAAAAGAAATATATATATATATATATTAATGGGTTTGGAAAACTACACATTTGATATTCAACATTCTGGAACAATCATTGGGGGTCACTAACATCCTTCAAATCATGACCTTAATGATCCAAATCATGAGGGGCATGCTCCCTTTTTGGTGGAAGAAACATAGTTCTAAATAAGATTAGTGAGTAACAGATTAGGTTCTTGACCTACATTTTTTCCCTGGCTGTTCTATTTGATGTGTTCGTAACTTGATATTCTAATATTTTACTCTCAGGATTAAAGCAAGCCCTCAGGTGGTATCATGAAGTAGCTGCTGTTTCATTGTTGATAAACGGTTGCATAAAAAAATTGGTAGAGCTGATTAAAATAAGAGTGATAGAGACTTGGATTCAGGGTTCCTGCTTTTGATGGTAGCAGGCAAACAGCTTTGGAGGAATTCTATTCTACAAACTATATTTATTCATGTATTGCATAGGTTATTGTGATCAATGTGTGACAGTGTGTGGCTACTTTTGTTGCAAACCTTGTTAACCGGCGCCTGAATTTTCCGTGATTTACTCTGCTTTCTTTTAGTGTGGTATGTCAATGCTTCACTTGTGCCTCTAAGGCACTTATTCTATATAGTTTTCAGTTGTTTCTACCTTCTTCTTTTTTTTTTTTTTTGGGTCCTCTGATGCGTTCATGGCTTGTATAAATCCTTACATATTTATCTGCTTCAAAATGATGAACAGTATGCCTTTCAGTAATAGTATAATCTTTGTGATTTGATTATTGTGGAAAAACGTTGATTGCTGAACAAATATGGAGAGGCCTTATTGGTTAACCTTCCTGGCTGTTAACTGTGCATGTCTGTAGTCTGTACTTGAAAATTGATTAACTGGCCCAGAAAGAAAGAACTAGGGGAAGCAAACTACTTGTACCTTTTGGGTTGAAGACTGGTGTATCATATCACATTGTTGATCCTCATATGTATCTGGAACGTGACTTCTTTGTATCAATATTTCATAATCGAAAAAGAATGCATTGGCTACAAAGTGAGATTGGCAGTGTTAAATTGCCATGCCTGATTTCCTATGCTACTACGGTACTTGTCCCTGATGTTTTCCTTATTGATGAAATATTGGATAGATACAATGTCTAGTTGTCCAGCGTTGTAGAGAACCCTGGACCAGCAATCTTTCTGTTTAATCTCTGTTTTCAAAGGTGCCAGCTTGCCCTGTCTCTGGTAACATATAGGTTTCAAAAGAGTTAAGAGCCTTCAATGAAGTCTTAATCTACATGTTAATGGTAGCCTCGGATCCAAGAGGTTCCAGCTTCCAGGTTTGAGTCTCCTTACTCTAATGTAATAATTTCCAAACA